GAATGGCTGGGTAAACAACAGCCGCCTCAGAACGGTTCCCTTCTGGAGGCAGGGCCTTGCTCTAGCCATCTCAGGATTGCTCTGCCCACGTGGGCCTCTTAGATTGTCCTCTGTGAATGTCCATGGGATGAATAAGTGGCCTCCTGGGGGCCCCCTCTTCCTCCTTCCCTGCTTTTTGTCTCTCTCTCCATGATCCTAGAGTGTCCTGGAGTAGAACCAGAGACTGGGAAGAAGCACGACTTTGCTTCTGCTCCTTCCTGCCCAGCTGCCTGCGAGATGGGGGTCGACCCCAGCCCCCAACATGGAGCCAAGGCTGGAGGCCCGAGGTGGTAGACCCTGGCTGGGGTTGATGCCCTCAGGCTCTGCCACCTGAAAGCTGTGTGACCTTGGCCAGATGACGTCCCCTCTCTGTGACCGGTTCCTCATCTGTGAAATGGGCCTAGAGATAGAAGCCACAAGGGAGGCTGCTCGGAGGACATGGTGAGGTGTAACAGACTGGATGCGTGTGGGGCGTGGCCCAGAGGGAGCTTTCCGTAAATGCGCGCTGCTGTTAGTAGCACCAGCATGTATTGTCATTTTCCAGCTCCCCGTTCCCACTGGCAGCATGGGGAGGGGTGGCTCCCCAACACCCCCTGCAGCCAGACAGGCTGGGGGAGATGACAAAAGGCGGGCCGGGCCAAAGGCCCCATTCCCTGTTCTTTTAATAAATATAAAGGCAGCCTCTAGACATCCGTCTGCTCTGCATTGTTCTGCCAAGGCGAGCAGCAGTCTCAATTCCTCCTCGGACTCGGGAAGTTCCTTCCTTTCTTTCCCCTCCCCTGTCACATTTCCTTTATCTAAATCCTCAGCTATGAAAGGGCATATCGACAGCTGGGGGCATTATCTGGTGGAGGGGACCTTTTCCTAGGGGTGCCTCCAAGATAAGGAGTCTTATCAGCCCCCGCGTCAGGGACGGTAGCCAAATCAGTCTAATCATTGAGGCTTGCGACATTTCCCCCTCTCTCCCCCCACCCCACTTTTATATTATTAAAGTCACAAAAGACCTTGGGCTTCTAAACAGCCTGATTTGCAGATAGGGTTTCAAAATGAGCCGCTCTCCCAGGATGGTCCCTGGCTGAGAGAGTAGTCATGAGTTGGGGTGGGGGCTCTGGGCAGCTGGCTTTCTGCAGACAGGGGTGATGCCTAGCAGAGAGGGGGCAGGGGAGGTCACAGAAAGATCATGACTGTCTTAGGCACCTGCTCCAGTCCTGTCTCCGGTTTGCTGTGTGACCTTATGCAGGACACTTGGCTTCTCTGAGGCCCCCATCACTTCATCTGACAGTAACTAAATTCATGGATTCGGCCAGTCATTCAACACCTACTTATTAAGCGATTGCTCTCTGCCAGGCATTGGGAAGAAAGAGACAAATAAGACATGGTCGTTGCCCCTGAGAAACTCAACAGTCCAGTGGAGAGAGACAGACACGAAAATCGGCAATTACAACTCTGTGTGATTAGGGCCATGAGCGGGGGTGCCCAGAGGAGGGGACCTGAGTCTGAGTTACAAGGGATCAGATGGCAGTGCTGTGAGTGGACAGACCAGTGCAGGTAAAGGTTTGGGGGCTGGCGGGCTGGAGGGAGCGATGAGAGATGGTGGAGGGTGGGGGGGCAGGTCATAATGGCCTTGAGGGCCAGGCAGAGGGTTAGGCTCTATTCTGGCACCAGAGAGAAGTTTTAGGGCCAGTAAGAAGGTTGTTTTGTCTTGTTTGTAGATAATGTGTGTGCGTGTGCTAAGTCACTTCAGTCACGTGCAACTCTTTGCAGCCCCGTGGACCATAGCCCGCCAGGCTCCTCTGTCCATGGGATTCTCCAGGCGAGAATACTGGAGGGGGTTGCCATGCCCTCCTCCAGGGGGTCTTCCCGACCCAGGGATCGAACCCACGTCTCCTGCACTGGCAGGCGGGTTCTTTACCGCTGAGCCACCTGGGAAGCCGTAAATAATGTGGATGATCCCAAACTGGCCTCTGCCCTCCCCCACCGGACCCCACCCCGCACCTGCCCCGGCAGCAGGGCACAGGGTTCCTGGGAGAAGGGGCAGGGGGCTGGGGTGCTGCGGGCCCAGGAAGAAATCCATCTTCTCCACGTGCAGCCGGCCGCTCAGATGGCTGGTCCTCCACGGGCGCGGGACAGACTGAACCAGGCGGCTGCACCAGGAAAGCTGAGCTGAGGCCTTCCCCTGGACTCCATCTCCCCTGGGGAATCCTCTGTGGGCCCTGAGCTGGGCCTCGTGGTCTCTCACAGCCCCCAGAACTGCCTGGGCGTCCACCGTCTGAGCACCCTGAAACCGGAACCCCACGGGGAGGGCATTTGCTGGGGTCTGGCGGTAGTTGCCCAGTCGTGTCCGACTCTTTGTGGCCCCATGAACTGTATCCCGTCAGGCTTCTGTGTCCACGGGACTCTCCAGGCGAGAATCCTGGAGTGGGTAGCCGTTCCCTTCTCCAGCAGATCTTCCTGACCCACGGATGGAACCTGGGTCTCCTATGTTGTGGGCAAATTCTTGACTGACTGAGCCACCAGAGGAGAATAGGCGGCCTACCCCTCACCCGATAAGCGCTGCAGCCCCTGGCCTGCCCTTTTCCACTGAAAAGCAGGCTAGGGTGCTTGACCCCTGGGGAAGGGGGGGCTCTGGAGAGGGGCCCTGGGCTTCTGGGCACCTGGTGAATGGCCAGGGGTGGGGAGGACCACCCAAGGTGGGGCTGGGCTGGGCCAGGACCCTGGAGAAGAATGAGCTGGGAGGGATCACGGAGGTGCTTTTACAAGGCCAGCGAGGGGCAGGAACTCCCCGGGGGTCACACAGGCATGGAGGTGGGGTGCTTCTGGGCTTCCAGCCCAGGTTTCCTCTAGGTGCTGACCTCCCTCCTTCGCTGCCCAGCGCCGCCCCAGCCTGTGGGCAGCAGCACAGCCCAGTGGAGAGGAGCCAGGCTCACCCAGTCCCTGGCTGCTGAGTGCCCCGGGGAGGGCCCCGTCCCCCTCTGGGTTTCGTCTTTGGACAGAAAGGGCTTGCTGGGGCCCTAAGGTGGGCTGGCCTCTCCCCTCTGTCCCCCTAAGTCTCCGTCAGAGCAGCGGGAGGTGGCCAGCACTCTGGGCTACAGTGGGGACCCGAGGCCGGGCTGCCAGGGTGCCCCCAGGCCTCTCACCTTCCAGGTGGGCACACGATGGTGTGTGTGTTTCCGTGGATGGCCGGTGAGTGCTGAGAGGTGCCGGAGGGGCGTGTCACTTGGGGTGGGTGAGGGTGTGTCGGGGTGTATCCACCTGCAGGAAAATGGATGTGGCGAGCACCTCTGGGTGTGGGCGGACGCCCAGCACTGCGGGTGTTGCGTCCGAGGGGGCCTGGCTGCCCCCAGGAGTGTGGTGTGTCCCCAAGGGCCCCCGGCGCAGCCCGATGCTGGCTCGCTCACGTCCTGAGTCCCCAGGGAGTGGCGCCTCCTTCCGTAGTCAAGGGCTTTCGTCCCTGCAGTAAGCCCCACTTCATTCCCTTCTTCAACTGTGTAATTTCTGCCTGATTGTAATGGCATATTTTAAAATTACCAGAAATCAAAGCCAGGAAGCGGATACCGAAGCTTTTATCGCGTCGCTGCGTTAAGGCTGGCGATTGGGAGGTTGGGGAGGGGAGGCATTAGACCCACCGACCCTCCCCCATCCACCCCCCATCTCTCTCTCCCTCTGTCTCTCTCTTTTTTTTTCCTGAGACAGTAATAGGAGAAAATTGGTTTTGAAACTGAATAAAAGTCCCTTTCAGAGTAAATCATTTCTTTCAGGGTACCTTTGCTGAAAGTAAAATAGAGCATAATGAAAGGTGGGTACGTGATTGTCTTTCATTTACCGAGGGTCCGGGACAGACAGGAGGCTGCAACCGTCTCGGGGAAATACAAGATTGGAATAATTGCTCGGTAACAAGGAGCTTGTTGTGAAATTAGTATCTTAAGAAAGTAGTGAAAAAAGGCTTTTCCTCATGAATACTTCATTATTAGAAGAAAGCGGCAGAATTTAGGGCTCCAGACACCTGTTTAGTATTAAATAACTTCCCTTTCTTCCCCTTCAACACACCCTCCCCTCCGCTTTCTTCTTTTTTAAAACCAGCCGCCCGCTTGGCAGCTCGGGCCTTGGCAGTGGGGGTGGGGCTGGGGCTGGGGCACCGGGGCTGGGTGGCCATCAGCAGTCTCCAGGGTTGAGCCCACACCTGGGCCTGCCTTTCCCTGGCAGGAAACGTCCCGCCCTCTCCCCATCCATCCAGGGCAGGCCCTGCCCATGTCATCTTGCCCCTCAGAGGCTCCGGGTTCTCGGGGGAAGAGAGGTTTTGTGTAGATAAAAATGCTCGTTTCCATGTGGATCTGGGTCAGTGAGCCCACGTGGCCCTGTCTGGAGCCACGCCTGAGCCACCCTGGGTGGGCCTTGCCCTTTTCCGTTTGGGCTCAGGGACGTGGTCGGGGGCCTGGTGGCCTTTCGGGCCTGGTCTCGGGGCTCAGTCTGAAACCAAGGTCAGGCTCAGCACAGGCCACCCCCGGTTCTCGCGGGGACCCCACCCTGGACATCTCACCCCTCCAGGTGCACTGGGAAAAGTCTCCAGACTGCGGTGGCGGCGGGGAGACCAACACTTCAATGAGTGGGAACCCCGTGTGTCACGGGAAGTTCCCGGACACCCCTCCCCTCCGTGTAGCTTCCCAAGATGACCCTACAGATGGGGGGTCTGTGCCCTTGATGAGCTCAGGGCTGAAGGTGGGGAGCGGGGAGGTGGAGACAGGGGGGTTGGTACAGATTTGCTGGCACGTGGTTATGAGAGAATGGAGCCCACCACCACCCAAAGGAACGTGGAGGGGAGCTGCTGAGAGAGCACGCCTGGGGGTGTCTGGGAAGCCCCCTGGAGCAGGTGTGACCCACACACAGAGTCGGGCCGGGCGGGGAGCTGGGAGGCAGGCCTGGAGTGGCCCGTGTGACCAGCACCTCCTCTCCCCTCCTCACAGGGACCCCGCCGCAGAGCGCGCCCCGCTGCGGGCCCCCAGCTCAGCCATGCTGGCCTGTCTGCAGAGGACCCAGAACGCCCCCGGCCAACACCTGGCCTGCCCGACCAAGAGCCTGGAGCTGCGCAAGTGTGAGTGACGCGCCCTGCCCGCCGCGCCGGCCCCCACCCCCTCCCCTGCCCGCTCCAGGCCCCTGGCGCTGGCATCCTCCGGGGCACACCGAGCTCGCCCCAGCTCGGGCCGTGGCAGGGCAGCCCCCAGGCGGGGAAAGCCGTCCCCACTCCAGCCTGTCCCCCCACCGCCAGCCTGCTCTGGGCGCTCTGTGCCCTCCCAGCCCTTTGGGCGGCTGGGGTCCCTCCCCGACAGTGGCACCCACTCCCTTGGCCTGGCTGACACCCACCGGGCGCGACCTTCCTCCGCAGCAGCCTCCTCCGGCCACTTAGCAGCACCGGGACCCCAAGCCTAGCACTTCCTCCGTGGCCCGCCACATGTCATGTCTGTCTCTGTGTCAGCAGGGGGTAGGATCACAGGAAAGCAAACACGCTTTGCCCTGGAGCAGCGCAGGTTTGAACCGTGTGGGTCCATTTATACACGGATATTTTTCAGTAGTGAACACCACAGTACTCCAGGGTCTGCAGTTGGTGGAGGAACTGAGGATGTGGAGGGCCAACTGTAAATTACGCTCAGATTAACCCCCATATCGTTCAAAAGGCAACTGTTGTCCCAAATGAGATCCCAGCTTGGGGCTTGAATTGCTGTGTGGTCTTGGGCATGTCCTTTCCCCTCTCTGGGCCTTGCCTTTGTCAACGGGTCAAGTTAGGGAGCTGGACGTGGTAACCTCCAAGGGTCTGTCCTCCTTTACCATCCAGGAGAGGGGTCCCAAGCCTTCTGGTCTGATTATTCTTAACCACCATAGATTTGCTGCTGTTATTTTTTCAGTATTTAGAAACATTTAAAAAAATAGGGAGATATTCATAAAAATCTGGATCTAGTGTGTCGTGAATACAAATCAGAGGCTCTGTATCACAGGCCTATGTTCCTCCTGGACTGCAGCTATTGGTTAGAACAGAACGCCTGCATCTTTAAGGGGATGTTCCTCTCCAGTTCACCACAGTCCCCAGTTCCCACCCTTCCCTATTGCCCTCTGTCCTATATCACACAGGATCAGTTACCATTTATCACTGTGTCTATATTGTTGCTTTATTCTTTTTTTAATATGTATTTATCTTTAGACAGGGGCTTCCCTGGTAGCTCAGAGGTAAAGAATCCACCTGCCAATGCGGGAGACATGGGTTCAATTCCTGGTCCGGGAATATCCCTCTGGAGAAGGAAATGACAACCCACTCCAGTCTTCCTGCGTGGAGAATCCCATGGACAGAGAAGCCTGGGAGGCTCCAGTCCATGGGGTCTTAAAGAGAGCTGCTGAAAAACAACAATCTTTAGACATGGTAATATACTCATGTAGTCCAGTATTCCAACGGAATAAAGGGGTAGAGAGACAAAGCCTGCCTCTCCACTCCTGTCTGGTCTCCCAGGTGTTTTATGCACATGCTAGCAAATATGTGTGTCTACACGTATTTTATCCGCTGTCCTATGCCTCACTTTTTTCACTTAGCCATACAAACTACATGTCAGCATCTGAAGAGCTTCCTCATTCTTTTGCCACAAAGTTTCTCATAGCATGGACGATCCATCATTTATTTGGCCAGTCCCCTAAGGAGAACCATACCCAACCTGCCATTACAAGCAGTGCAGGAACAAACTTTGTCTCTGGATATGTGTCACAAAGATGTGAATAAAACCACAGCATAAATTTCTACAAGAGGAAATACGGGGTTGAAGGTATGTGCATTTGTAACTTTGATGGATGTGGTTTGATTTATCTGTTCATCCTCTTGATCTGTTTTTTCCCCACTGGGTTTTGTCCTTATTGATTTATAGGAGCTCTTTGTATATGATGGAATTAGACTTCTGTCTGTCCTATGAACTGCAGATGTTTCCCCTAGATTGTCATTTGTCTTTGATTCTGTCACAGAGGACTTTTTTTTTTTTTTTGATGAAGTGAAATTTGTCAGTGCTTCCTTTTATGGACTTTGGATTTTATGTCATACTTAATGTCCTTTTTCATGCTGAGGCTGTTAAAAAAAAAAATGAGAGGGAGCTTCCCCAGGGTTTCTTCTAGTTCTTCTCTCGTTTAATTTTTAAAATATATAATCTCTGATATGTTTGGTAATTTATCTGGTACAAAGTTGGGGTATGGATACAAGTACATTCAAATATCGGTGCAATGCTGATTTAATTATTGTAGCAGTATAATACATCTTAAAAATTGTAATGGCTTTGTTGAGATATTATTCACGTACCATACAGTCCACCCATCTGAGTGTACTGTCAGTGGTTTAGTATACTTACAGAATTTTTGCATCCACCACCCCAGTCCATTTTAGAGCATTTCTATCAGCTCAGAAGAAATCCCTTTACCCACTCCTTCATCTTCCGTTCTCTATAGATTCCTCTCTTTTTGCCCTTTACTGAGAGGGGACTCATACAGTTTGTGGCCTTTTGTGACTGGCTTCTTGCCCTCTGCACAGCGTTTTCAGGGTTCATCCATGTCGTAGCATGTGTATAATACATTTTAATATTTGATGGTGCTTCCTGCTTGTTATTCATCATTTCTCTTATGCAAAAATTCCTTGGCTGTTCTATTAGTTTTCTGCCTGGACCACAGAATCAACTTATCTAGGTAAGAACAAAATCCTGTTTGGGTTTTCACTGAGATTGCATGCAATTTATAAATTAATTTAGGAAGAAATGACATTTTTATGATGTCTTTCCCTCCAGTAACACGGTCTGTACCTTTCTGTTTGTTCAGACTTTCTTCCGTGTCCCTCAGCAACATTGTTAGTATTTTCTTCATTTAGACCTTTGCACATTTTTAAAGTTTACTGCCTCTGGAATGTTAACCTTTCTTGGCTAATCTTTTCTTCCATAAGTGTTGATATAAAGGCTATTAACTCCTGCCACCTTACTGAATTTTGTTGTTTATAAATCTTTTTCAATTTAGTCTCTTAAGTTTTTCAGTTATACTATCAAATCATTTGTAAGCAATAATTTGACCTCCTACTTTGCAAGTTTTATACCTTGATTTCTTTGTCTTATTAATGGTGCCTACTATCCCTGGAACAATAAAAAATAATAGTGGCAACAATAGACATTCTTGCTTTGTCTCTGACTTTAACCAGAAGCTTCTAGGATTTCCTCATAACACAAAATACTGGTTTAGGGGCAGATACTTTATCAGGTTAAAAGTAAGTGTCTACCTATTCCTGTTGTATTAAGATTTTTAAAAATCAAGAATGGAATTTGAACTTTTCAGCGTCTGTGAAACTGATCATATGTTCTCCCCCCCGCCCCGCCTTGGTCTCTTAATATGAATAATAATATAGATTTCTTAATAATGGACCAACCTTGCCTTCCTGGTTGGTTCCCACTTGGTCATGAGAAATATTTCATTCTAATATACCATGGGATTGGATTTTCTATTTAATAGGAGTTTTACTTCAATTTCATCAGTGACATTAGTCTTTAGTTTTCTTTTTTAGGAACAGTTTTTGTTGGGTTTTACCATCAGTGTTACACTTGCTTCACAAAGACCCTTGCTTCCTCCTTCCTCTGTGCTTTATAACATTGCAAGTAGAAATGGATTATCTGTTCTTTAAAGATTGGTTGATCCTCCATGAAGCAGTCTAGGCCAGTGTATTTATTTGGGGCAGGTGGAGGCCTTGGTAGCACTGAGATGTTGGCCATTTGTTCCATAATGATTGGTTTAAATGTTCTTGAATGAATTTAGTAAATTATGTTTCTCTAGAAAAGTACCCATTTTATCCAGATTTTAAAATTTATCTGCCTGAGGCTGCAGAAAATTAATTCTTTTAAATGATTATGTTACCCTTGTTTCTGATATTGTATATTTTGTGCTCCCCCTTTTTGATTAGGTTAGTTAGCTAATGAGGTTATCTACCCCCCTCCTTTCCAAAAAGAAACATCTTTAGGATCCATTTATTAGTAATTACCCTTTTCTGGTTTCTAATTCATTAATTTATGCATTTGTCTTTATTAAAATGCTCCTGCTTTGCTTTAAAAAAATTTTTTTTGAGAGGCTTAGATCTTTATACTGGTAAACAAGAAAAAAAGGAAGATTAAGGCTATGAATTCTCTGAGCACTGCTTTAGATGTATCCTATAGGTTCTAACATGTATTTTTATCAGTACTTTCTAAATACTCTATGAGCTTCCCAGATGGCCCTAGTGCATAAAGAATTCACCCCAATCCAATGCAGGACACATAACAGACTCAGGTTTGATCCCTGGGTTGGGAAGATCCCTGGAGAAGGGAATGACTACCCACTCCAGTATTCTTGCCTGGAGAATCCCAGGGACAGAGGAGCCTCCCGGGCTACAGTCCATGGGGCCACAGAATGTTGGCTTTGATTTCTTCTTTGGCTTCAGGCTCATCTGAGTTCCATCTATGAGTCCAGGTAGTAGGTGCTTTTGTGTTTTGTTATTTCTAGTTCTATTGCATTATAATCAGATAATACTAAGATTTCTACTTTTTTGGACTTCAGTGAAGTTTTCCTTGCCATTTGATCGCTGGGTTTTTTGTGAGTTTTATGACTTTTTATGGGAATTTGAAAAGATGTGGCTTTGTTTTCAGGGCTCAGAGTTTAGTATTTACCAATTATATCTACCCCATTAATTCAGTTCAGTCACTCAGTTGTGTCCAACTCTTTGCAACCCGATGGACTGCAGCATGCCAGGCTTCCCTGTCCATCACCAACTCCCAGAGCCTGCTCAAACTGATGTCCATCAAGTCAGTGATGCCATCCAACCATCTCATCCTCTGTCGTCCCCTTCTCCTCCCGCCTTCAATCTTTCCCAGCATCAGGGTCTTTTCCAATGAGTTGGTTCTTCGCATCAGGTGGTAAAGTATTGGAGTTTCAGCATCAGTTCTTCCAATGAATGTTCAGGACTGATTTCCTTTAGGTTGGATGGTTGGATCTCCTTGCAGTCCAAGGGACTCTCAAGAGTCTTCTGGTCCAGCACCATAGTTCAAAAGCATCAATTCTTTGGCG